TTTTGAAAGATATATCATTGTAAGAAAGCCGATAGATGATCCATGGTAAATAACAAAAAACTGTACAAACGTAAAAACAGAAGGTGTTGATAGCGGTGCGTGTTAACACCAACACATTTAAAGTAATTTGAATACATGTATTTTGAACTTCTGTTGTTTGATATTGAGCGCGAATCTCGTATTGGTGACGTCGAGTAATTCGAAAAATGCAGACATAGGCAATAGTAGAAATTATTATATAAACACCCACCAATCCATAAGATATGTAAAAATGTTCAGGTTTATACCAGATGTGAACCCCTGAGAATAACAGCGAGTTAACAAGCCAAATTGCTATCAGAGTAAATTTGGCACGCGATGTGGTATTCAGTGAGTTGTACGTCATGTGGTATCTCAGGGCCAAAAATCTGTCCAAACTTATTGCTGACATGGTAGCAAAAGAAATCCCGCACAATGTAACACTCAAAATTTTCGTCAACTGCCGTAGAAAGTGAAAAGGCTTGAGTACTTTGGCGATAAAAAGCGGCTGGACTATCAAACCCACGACAAGGTCTGAAACAGCGAGACCACACAGCAAAATAATGGAGGGTGAACGAAGCGAAGGTGTCTTTATGACAGCTGCTAACACCAAGGAGTTTCCAAAAATTGAAATCAGCATCAGTGGAAAATTAAGAAAACAGTTTACTATGACGATAGTCGAAGGAATGGTCGAGTTTTCTTCGTTATCCACATCTTGATCATATGCAGGGCCTCTGGAAGTGTTAAAGATGTTGTCTTGCATTTCAGAAGGCTTCTTCAGCGAACGATATTTCAAAGTTTTCTTTCGTTTTCGATCGATAGCTGATTCTGCTTACAATTTCAGGTTCATTTTAAATGTTTCCGTTTTTATTTGTAGATAACAACCCTTTTAGGAGGATACGAGAATATTGATTATCACATTCGACGAACTATTAAATAATTGATTAAACTGTTATGACATCATGTCTCATCGTAATTAATGAACCTATCAATAAATGTTTTACCAGTGGCTACATCAAACTTACTGAGCCTCAATAATAAATTTAGCATAAACACGAACATATATAACTGTCGAACCTAAATTTGGGCTGTTGGACCACTTTCTACCCCAGGTAATCAGAAATCGAAGAGTTCATGCCGCGTAACAATTTTGAAAACTCGGTGGCGTTGCCCAGTAACCATATGACACACGTCAGGGGTTGAGTGAAATTTTGCCAATTTAATCGTATAGAATAAATAAGAAACTCTAAAATCGTGAGTGAAGAAAGAAAACTACACAGGAAGAAATCCCACGTTTCCACATTTTTTAAATGTGATGGAAACATAGAGCTTCATGTTTCCGCTACATTTACGTTTTGCGGAAACGTGTTATGCTTAGTCCTGATGATGCTATCAAGTTTCTGTCATGTTTCCGGAACGGAAATGTCAAGTCATGTTTCCGTTATATTAAAGTCAGGAAAACTGACTTTAACATAACTCGGTCGCGTTGCCCAGTAACCTTGTGACACACGCCAGGGGTCGAGTGAAATCTTGCTAATTAAATCGTATAGAATAAATAAGAAACTCTAAAATCGTGAGTGAAGAAAGAAAACTCATTTTTGTTTTTCAAACGCAAAAGAAAAGGTTGTAAAGGAACGTCAACGCCTTTGTCAGCTCTTTAAGAGCCAGAGGCAAACCAGCCAAGAGGAGAGACAGTATTGTTTCAAAGATCCCGGCTGTCAGTTGCAATTTTTTCTTAAGCTGTATGCAAATTTAGGCGAGACGAGACATCAATCTCACATCCGCCTTGGCCGTGAGCTGCCTTTAAAGATTATGTAAGCATTTCCATTTTATTAAGAGCCTGAACAGGTGAAATTGTTTTCATTTTATTGACAGCCTAAGGCGAACCAGCCAAGAAAGATCCCGGCTGTCAGTTGCAATTTTTGTGTGGCTTACACAACGCTTGCAAATGTAACGATAGGATTTTTACGTTATCGAGTTCTTTTATGCTAGCGCTAAAAATATATAAAATTCAATGTAGAAAGCCAAGTTCAACAAAGCGTAAACGCTACCAGTTCTTGGATCATAACTTTAATTAGTGTTAAACTGTAACAGCCACATATCATGTCCTTTTGTGTAGTTGTTTTCCACAGGAACTTTTTGAAAGTAATTAATGTTGTAAAAGGCGATATTCCTACTTAGCCAATAGTGTAGTAAATTACGTGATTCTTTAGATTATTCATGGCATTACCGCATTAATAAAAGTGGTTTTTTTTCATGGCGTTTTTTTCCGCGCTGTTTTTCCCCTATTTCTCTCCATTTTCCCTTTTTCTCTTCCCCATTTCTCTGGCGGGCGCTCCTACTATCTCTCCTTCCTCCCAGACCCCTCTCAGTTTATTTTTTCTTTCTTTTACGTTACCTGCAGGGTTCGAATTCTCAATCCTCTATCTTCTTCGTCAGACTAGCAGTCTATCCTCTATACCATTGTTCTACATGTGCTTGCTGCAGATAAAGGGTATCTTTCAAAATTATATTTCTAATACCTTATTCAAATTCCAAAAATTAATATTGAAATCATTTTCCTCACGTTTAAAACATGTTGGATTTTGCACGAGGAAATGAAATGTATCACCGCTGTCGCTACGTTGAAGGAAAGTGGGTCTTTGGTGGCATTTGCCGTGCAACCAAGGCCTGCTTCCTTGTACCGGTAGAGCGCAGGGATAAAGATATACTCCTACCCATTATACGCGCTCAAATATTGCCGGGAACATGAGTGATGAGCGACATGTGGAAAGCTTATGATTGCCTACAGGACGAGGGCTACAATCATCTCACAGTCAACCACAGCCTAAACTTCGTAGACCCAGACACTTTATCACATAACAGGTTCCCGTCTCAGACTGTGTTATCTGAATGAAAGATCTGTTCATAAACACATTCAAGACTTGCGTAAAGATCGTAATTATTCCCGTTCTGATATTACGGTGGCCCACATCTACGCACGGCAAAACAAAAATTCACGGCAATACAAACTTTACTAAGGGCAAAACAAAATTAACACATGGCAAAACACCACTAATTCACGGCAAAACAAAATTAACTAACGGCAAAACAAAATTAACTCACGGCAAAACAAAATTAACTCACGGAAAAACAAAATTTACTCACGGAAAAACAGAGAAAACGAGTTGGTCAGCGGTTGCTATTTGCACCTGAAAGGTATAGGTCGTGTAACAGTAACACAATGCCCGCTCGAAAAACCGCCCCTCACGATGTTTTTGATCCGTATGTGGTTCGATAGTAGATGAAGATGCAAACTTTTGTAAAAGCTGTGTTAGAGGTACGTTTCTTAAGTTAAAGTGTTCGTATTTGCATTTATTTTAGTTCCAAATAACGATAGGCGTGAGAAGACACTGCTACAAATTAGCTGATTAGCACGTGTCTGGAATAAGATTGTGCATGTAACCTGTGTGTAAAAAGAAAACATTCATAATGTATAGGCCTTGATGAAATAAGGATTTTTCAACAGGTGGAAAATACTGTACGCCTGCAAACAGTCAGAGAGCACGAGGTTAAAGGTCAAAACATTCCTGATTATTTTCAAAATCATTTATCTTGAGTTTTGTTGATGTTAAACAGACTTAAGGAAATAACGTTGTTTAAAATAAAGTTTCCTCTGAACGCCAGAGGTGTAAGCTACATTATTTTGCTTCATTGTTTTTTATCCACTGGTTGAAAAATCCTTAATTCATCAAGGCACATACATTATGAATGTTTTCATGCTACAGAAACTAAGACAAGCTAATGTGTCACTAGGCTTGTATGCAGACTTTATTTTTTGGAGCATCTATGGGGTGTACAAAAATACACCAAACTTGGGGAGTTTTAATTTAAATTTTTACACCGAAAATTATCAGCGAAAGATTGATAGGAACCACACACCATCCGTGATGTAAATTAATGATACTTAAAAGCTGTATAATTAATACCACCGGTGCCGTACGGCTCCCAACATAAACATCCCTATCTAAATTACCCCAACCTGCTCCTATCTGGCCTAGTAGCACAGTCAGTAGAACATCAGTAGAACATCAGTAGATTAAATCCAGAGGTCATCAGTTCAATTTCCACAGGGATAGAGTTTTCTCAGTTCTATGGGAACACTCCCAGATGTCGTCTTTCAGGGTACTTATCCAGTGTTATTTGGTGTTTCGGCAGTACTGCCTTCCTTTGCACCCAAACACACATTAAAAATGTATAACTAATTCAACAAAAGATTTCTGGTTTAAAGTGGTCGTAACGGATGACTTGAACTGCTCGTGCTCTTATAAAGAATCTTACAAAGTACTTTATGTTCTTTGGAAGTGCGAAGAGACAACTTCTTACATGACTGATTCGGCCAAAATTTATCCCTATTAACTATTCTCTGGATTATACTGTTGCCCTGGATTTAAGAGCAGAATACCCTTGATATTATCAACTTTATTTCTGCTGCCTCACTAGATTCTTCATTTGGCTTTACCAAACAAAAGCGAAGATCTTAGGGATTTGTACAGTATCTCAAATTCACACAGGAAACACAGGCATTGATCTCACACCCCCATCCATCTCACGCCTCTACCCTCAAGTTGTCATTGACAACCTTATGATTTAAATTGTACTGCGACGGCTCTAATTGTTCTTTTTTTCCAATTCCTATTGTCAAATAACATGAATTATAATCGCTTTCTTTCCTTTACATCCGTGTGCGCTTCTGGAATGGTGCAAAGAAGTTAACTACAAGTCTAAATTCCGTCATCTCTGCCATTCAAGATGAGAAGCTCGAAAGCATAACTATGGAAGAGCCTTCCGAAGTTCCACAAGAGGATGAATTGACAGTACTTATTCCCTTCATAAAAACTGTCGAGAAGGTTCAGCAATACCCTCTTTGCATACACTGTTCCAGAAAGCTTTAGCAAGCCACAGCCAGTTTGCTAGTGAAATGTGACAGATGCAAACACACCATGGTTCTTGCCAACTGTAACAAAAGAATGTCTGTGCATTTTACTGTGCAAGGTCAAGATGAAAGTGACGTCATTTTCTCTGCGTTCGAGCAGACCTTGAAGACCGTCGTTCCAAGAGTCGGAAAAATGTCGGAAGAGCAACTGACTGAACATTTGCTGTTATTACACAACATTACCATTAAGTACAGTTCATCGACACTTATTGTGTCTGCCGTTGGACTCTACACTAGTAGCCACTTTACTATTGTGCCGGCGACTGAACTCAGGACACTGAAAAAAAAAAAAAAAAAAAAAAGAACTCCTGTTTATATTAAGACTCTTATCTTGTTCTTCTGTTAGAATTAAAACTGTAAAGAATAGTTTGTTCAGGAACACTGAAGAACTTGGCAATTTGTGTTATTTCAACTCGTGTGTTGCGTCCGAGATTAAACTCTAAACCAATTGTTTGTTTGTTCAGGAACACAGAACACTGAAGAACAATTTTAGAAACTCGTATTATTTCAACTTTTGTCTTGTTATTAGATGTTAGCAAACTCTAAACCAATTGTTTAGATTTTGGAAACTTGTTTTATTTCAACTCGTGTGTTGTGTCAGAGATTGAACTCTAAACCAATCGCTAATTTGTTTAGGAGTTCAGGAACACAGAACACTTAAGAACAATTTCGAAAACTAGTGTTATTGCAGCTTTTGTCTTGTTATTTTCTAAGCGATTGAACTCTAAACCAATCATTAAAATATTTATGAGTGTAGTTCTTGTGGTTGTAAACTGATAATTTCATGCTAAGTATGCTCTCGCTTAAAAAGACAATAAGACGAATGTTATATTTTCTGCCCTAAATAACTTACAGTGTCTATAGTGTCCTTTCATCCCGAAAGAAAAAATTGATAATGCCTCCTTCATCAAAATTTAGACCTTGGAAACCTGCAACCTCTTCGCCGTTCCTCAGGGAGAGGGGCAATTTGTTGCGCATGTTCTGATTATTTTAGCTTGATGCGAGAAACCGCTGGTATGCGCCTACGTCGTTTTCCCGCTCAACAAAAGGAGGAAAAAACGTCGGAAAAACAACGATGGATCGAGTATTTGAGACAAACTTTCTTGTCATTTTTCCCTCTGTAACTTAGATGGAAGCGGCAAAGTCTTAAAATTGTTGTGTAGTGTGTGGAAGGAAGTTATTTTCGAGTCTTGTTTGGGCGATCGCTGTAGATAATGTTATTTCTGAAGGACGCAATAGGCCTGTCGAAGAGCACAAACGAATTGGATAACGTAATTTTATCGTGTCATTGCTATCTCATGTTATCGTTGATCGTTTGAAGTACTCACTTTCCTGCCTGTGCAATGTACTTCTATTTTTAGCGAAAATTAAAGTTGACCGTGACAGAAGTTGATATTTTGTTTCAAAAGTTTTTTTTGACGTGAACCACAACCGGTGGGGCCGATTACCTAAAAAAAAAGGTCAATGTCGAGTAAAGAAAAGACAAGATTAGTACTAGAGATACGGTCTTTACATCAAAGAGCTTGTTAGAAACGGAAAAATAATTAAGGACTTGATCGGAATAAGGAAAAGTCTTTTTAATCATTAGTCTCACCAATATCATCAGATATGACCAATGGTGTGAGGAAATTGTGAATTAAAACAAGTACTAGTTTTGGCTTCCAGTTGTTATATGAATAGTTAAGTAAAATCAATTATTTCCCAATAAATATCACATTCATTTATCATTTCAACTGCACAACAAAATCGTATACACTCTTTGCAGCCTCGTTCTCCAACCTATTAAATTACAACAGTTATGTAACGATTTGATGGTCTGAAAAGACTCTTATTACATGCCAAACAATAAAGAACCAGTAGGACTGATATTTAAACAACAAGCGATTGACAAATAATAATAAAAAAGTTCTTTGAGTTGGGGAACTCTGTTTGAAAATTCCGTGACAATAGATTGATTACAACTGATGTTGTTAAAAAAAACAGGGCTTGACTTAGGGAGTCCTCTTTGAAAATCTGCACACAAAAATATGAATCAATGGATGTTGTAAAGATTGAAGGTTCTTTGAACTTTTAGCTATGTTTGAAAATCCTTAACAAAAGATCTACTTTGATTGAATTTTTTCGAGGTAATAGGATTCTTTTCTTTGACAAAAAAAAAGAAAAAAAATACTTGTATCTCCCCCAGAAAGTTATTCAAATGTATAAATCTGAAAAACAGCGAGTTGGTCTCTGTAACTTTCTCTTTCACGAATCTGAGTTTTGTACCATATGTAAGCAATGGTTACATTATGAGCACGAAACTTTAAGAAACCGCTCTGCAGTTAGCACCGAGACTTACTTGAGCCCGAGACTTACTTAAGCCCAAGACTTACTCCAGCGCTTCATCTAAAGTTGTTCCTTTTGTGGACCAAAAATCGCAAAACAATGAACGGGACCTTTCTAACACAAGAAATGGCGCAATCGTTTTCACGCTCACGGGAAGATGACCATTCCAAGCCTGCGATCATCGGAATTAACCTAACATTCATGTTGTTATCCATTGCTGGAAATCTGTTGGTCATCTTTTCTGTTTTTAGGACACCCTCTTTACGTTCGCCGTCAACAACTCTGCTTTGTGGTCTGGCTGCATCAGATGTAATTGTTGGACTTATAGCGCAACCTCTCTTTATCATTCGAGAGCTGATACCAAATGACACCCTATTTCATATGGCGTTCTTTTTCTCCTGCAGCGGCTGTGGAGTTTCCTTATTAACGATGACACTCATAAGTTTGGATCGATACGCGGCTCTTCACTACCACATGAGATATGCTACCATGGTGACTTCCAAAAGGGTTATCTGCACGCTAGCGACAATGTGGTTTGTTATATATGTGGCATTTGGTATCTACTTTTGGAAAGGAGTAGTATATTTTCTCGTTGCTGCCTGTTTCATCATCAGCTGTCTCCTTTTATCGACATTCTCTTACGTTAGAATTTATCGAATTGTTAAGCAACACCAGAGGCAGATTCAGGTGCAGACCCAAGTCTTCCAAGGCCCAAATATTGGTAGTAACTTCAACATAATTCGTCTTAAGAGATCCACCATAAACACCTTCATATTTTACATATTTTTGATATTGTGTTATTCGCCAATTTTTCCCTTAGTGATTGTCGATGTTTTGTTGCGGAATCAGGTGTGGTGCGATAGCTTAATGTATGCGACCACTGTGATTTTTATGAACTCTGCCATCAATCCAATCTTGTACTGCTGTGTTTTAAAAGATCTTCGAAAAGCTTTTTTAAGAGCTGCAAGAAAAGTTTTTTGCAAGTAGACTTTTCAAACTATTTTTCTCAATCGTCCTAACCCTTACACTCCTAAAATGTCTTTGGTAATTCTCCCGTCTAACTGTTACACACTTCCTTGTAAATTAACTACGAGAATTTGGTTTTAGATTAAGATGGAAAGTTTTATGGGACGAGTCTGAGTATTCTAACTACCTGTTAGCTAGATAATAAATAGATATTATCGGGAAAAGTTACATGCTAATTTCTTCTGGGAGTTTCAAGGTTAAACTGTCAATAGCGAGGAACGCATGTTTTTGAACGATGAGAAGCTACGTCGTTACATTAACAACAACGACAACAATAGCAACAGCAACAGGACGACAACAATAGCAACAGCAACAGGAAAAACCAAGCTAAAATCAGATTGTGTAAAAAACATCATCTTTTGGATAGACTTTAACAAAACAATGTTTCGGAATAAGATACACCTGCTGTTCAAAGTGGTATAGCGTATTTGGTTGTCATTTTTGGAAGAAAGTCAGGAGTATCACTTTTGTGTGCTAAATCTGCCATCAAGTAGAAATAATTAGTATGATTAGCGGTAGAAATAATTGTACCAGTAGAGCTCATCTCAGTGATTGCTTTAAAGTTCTACAATGGATATAATTTGTTTGTTCTTGTTTGCTTAGATGTTTTTCTCTTTGGAGGAAATTTAACATAACCTCTTAGGACCAAAGGAATAAATTAAAAAGGAGTGAGATGTAGTTATATTAACGCGATAGAAATCTCGAGCTTATTATCCGATTGTTAAATCGTTAAAGATAAGTACTTCCAAGAGAGAAAATATGAGGATTCTTTATATTTCTGCACGCTGGATTGGGATTGTTTTCCCCTTTTTTTATTTGAAGGCTGGAAATACGAATTTTATCGAAAGTCTAATGACTCCGTCAACAATTGGATTCCTTAAAAACATGGCTGGGAAGAATTTTCTCTTTATTTATTTTAAAAAATTTAAATTTTAAATTTAAATAAATCAGTTACCGAAATTTTGGAACACCTCTTTTTTTTTTAGGATTTTAGCTGCTGTGCTCACAAGGTGGATGTGTTAACATATTTTTCAAATGTTCCTCACACTTCTTAATTACGTTGTTCTTAAACTTAGCAGCCTTCCAGAAGTCATAGATTTAAACCGTCACTGAGGCATAGAAAAACTGTAACATATTTATCACTTATATTCCCTTTTTTCTTCAGTCAGGTAATTAAAAAACGTTTTAAATATTTTGAATGCGACCTTACCTTACTGATAATCACTCATCTTTTGGACTGACGATCCTCTGGAAGTGTTAAAGACGTGTCTTGCATTTCAGAAGGCTTCCCTGGCGAACGATATTTCAAAGTTTTCCTTCTTTTTTGATCAATTGCTGATTCTATTTACAATTTCGGTTTCATTTGAAATATTTTTAAATTTTTGTTTGTAGAGAACAAGCCTTTTAGGAGGATAGGAGAATACTGATTATTAAATCCGAAAAATTATTAAATAATTTATCAAACTGTTGAGACATCATGTCTCATCGTAATTTGTGAAAAATAAATGTTTTACCAGCGGCCAAATTAATCTTACTGAGCTTCAATAATAAATTTAGCATAAACACGAACAAATATAACTGTCGAACGTGAATTTGGGCTGTTGGACCTCTTCCTACTCCAGGTAATCAGAAATCGAAGAATTCATGCCACGTAACAATTTTTAAAACTCGGTCGCGTTGCCCAGAAATATGTGACACACGCCAGGGGTTGAATGAAATTTTGCTAATTAAATCGTAAAGAATAAATAAGTAACTTTAAAATCGCGGGTGAAGAAAGAAAACTTATTTTTGTGTTTCAAACGCCATAGAGAAATTTTTAAAGGAACGTTAACCCCTTCGTCAGCTCTTTAAGAGCCAGAAGCGAACCAGCCAAGAAGAGCGAGACAATATTGGCTTAAAGATCTGGGCTTTCAGTTGCATTTTTTCTTTAGCTGTCATGCAAATCTAGGCGAGACATGACATTCATCTCACATCCGCTTTGGCCGTGGCTTGCCTTTAAAAGGTTATGCGAGCATTTTCATTTTATTAGGACTTAAATTTTTTAAAAATAGATTTTCGTCATTTACGTTCTGAGAAAATGATCCTCTTCACTTTTGAGGCTTGAGAATCAACTCAGTTCAAAAGAGTCACAGACGAAATCGAAACTCAAATATTAATAGAAGTAGAAAATTACAAGCGTTTACTTCAAAAGCTTTAAATTTCGGTACCACCACGACAGGAAAAGGTTGACAAATTAATTTTTTTGTTTTTCCAAAGTACTGACATCCAATTTAACATTTGTTTACATGGCAATCACTTGGATCCATTGCCTCATATAACAAAAGTCGCAATCCAATTGGATTGATCGCAATTAAGTTTTCATAATAGCGCGATGGTGCAAAATCATGTCTGCTTTGTCCGAGTATAGAGAAATAATTTTCGTGGAAAATAATTTGTTTTGTTTGCTATGGGAAAAAAAATTTAAAAAAACAACAAGCGATTGGCAAATAACAAGAAAAAGGTTCTTTGAGTTGAGGAGCTCTGTTTGAAAATTCCGTGACAATAGATTGGTTATAATTGATGTTGTAAAAAAACAACAGGGTTTGACTTTGGGAGTCCTCTTTGAAAATCTGCGCACAAAAATTTGAATTAATTGATGTTGTTAAGATTGAAAGTTCTTTGAGCTTTCAGCTACGTTTGAAAATCCTTAACAAAAGATTTACTTTGATTGAACTTTTAGAGATATTGGGGTTCTTTCCTTTGACAAAAAAATACTTGTATCTCCCCCAGAAAGTTATTCAAATGTCTAAGTCTGAAAAACAGCAAGTTGGTCTCTGTAACTTTCTTTTTTTTAAGAATCTGAGTTTTGTACTAAATGTAAGCAATAGTAACATGATGAGCACGAAACTTTAAGAAACCGCTGTCCAGTGAACTCCGACACTTATTCCAGCCCGATTCTTAATCCAGCACTTCATCTAAATTTGTCCTTCTGTAAACCAAAAATCGCAAAACAACAAACGGAACCTTTCCAACAAACGAAATGGCACGATCATTTTCACGCTCTTGGGAATATGACTATTCCAAGCCTGCGATCGTCGGAATTAACGTAACTTTCATGTTACTATCCATTACCGGAAATCTGTTGGTCATCTTTTCTGTTTCTAGGACACCCTCTTTACGTTCGCCGTCAACAACTCTACTTTGTGGTCTGGCTGTATCAGATGTAATTGTTGGACTTATAGCGCAACCTCTCCTTATCATTCAAGAGCTGATACCAAATGACACCCTATTTCATGTGGTGTTCTTTTTCTCCTTCAACGGCTGTGGAGTTTCCCTATTAACGATGACACTCATAAGTTTGGATCGATACGCAGCTCTTCAGTACCACATGAGATATGCTACCATGGTGACTTCCAAAAGGGTTATCTGCACACTAGCTACAATGTGGTTTGTCATATATGTGGAATTTGGTATCTACTTTTGGAAACGAGAAGTATTTTTTCTCTTAGCTGCCTGTTTCGTCATCAGCTGTCTCCTTTTATCGACATTCTCTTACGTTAGAATTTATCAAATTGTTAAGCGACACCAGAGGCAGATTCAAGCGCAGAACCAAGCGATTCAAGGTCCAAATATTGGTAGTAACTTGAACATAGCTCGTCTTAAGAGATCCACCATAAACACTTTCATATTTTACATGTTTTTGATATTGTGTTATTCGCCATTTTTTCCATTACTGCTTGTCGATGTCTTGTTGCAGAATCAGGAATGGTCAGGTAGCTTAATGTATGCGACCACTGGGGCTTTTATGAACTCTGCCATCAATCCAATCTTGTACTGCTGTGTTTTAAAAGATCTTCGAAGAGCTGTTTTAAGAGCTGCAAGAAAGATTTTTTGCAAGTGAACTTTTTAAACATTTTTCTCAATCGTCTTACCAGCAGCTAAATCAAACTTATTGAACCTCAATAATAAATTTAGCATAAACACTAACAAATATAACTGTCGAACCTGAAATTGGGCTGTTGGACATCTTCCTACTCCAGGTAATCAGAAATCGAAGTACAGTCTGTATTCATGCCATGTACAAATTTTGAAAACTCCGTCGTGTTTCCCAGCAACCATGTGACACACGCTAGGGGTTCAGTGAAATCTTGCTAATTAAATTGTATGGAATAAACAAGAAGCCTAAAAATCGCGATTGAAGAAAGAAAACTCATTTTTGTTTTTCAAACGTAACAGAGAAAGTTGTAAAGGAACGTTAACGCCTTTGTCAGCTCTTTAAGAGCCAGAGGCGAACCAGCCAAGAAGAGCGAGACAGTATTGGCCATTTGTTAGCGTTTTGTCAGTATTGAGGCAACCACTGAGTAGTATTTTGTGTGTTAAATCTGCCATCAAGTAGAAATAATCAGTATAATTAGCAGTATAGCTCGACAATGGATATAATATGTTTGTTCTTGTTTGCTTACATGTTTTTGTCTTTGGAGGAAATTTTTAACATAACCTCCTAGGACCAAGGGGATGAATTGAAAAGGAGTGAAATTTAATTATATTAAAAACAGCACGTATTAAAGGGCTATGACCCTACTCATTCTTTACACCATTTAAAATAAAAAAAAGACTAAAAAATACATAAAAAATAGCAACAACAACAACAAAGACAGTTTTAAAAGCCGATCTCACACTAAATACTTCTAAGGTCACATAAAAATTCTTATATTCATATTCCTATGTCATGCCATTATGTTACGACAGCAACTGGACAATAGTACTATGATGGATGGCGATTATTGCTCTATACAGTTTGTAAAATATTATATTTATTCAATATACAATACCATGTTGTAAGAACTATGCTTTGTTGAGCTTCATATTCTTCGGAATTAAAAATAACTGAAATTGCATACTTTGTTTAAAACCCTTCAATAAACTCATTTTAATTTCTAAAAATGATTCATTTCTCTACGTTGATCATTTCTCTCCTATTC